GCCAATTGGACCCAATTATGGGGCCATCCAATCCAGGTCTTGAAATGGGCCCCTTACTCAGTATAAGACTTGAATCGATTGTGCACCCTAATGAGATACTAATTATTGAGGCTTCAGTTCCGTTTCAAGCTGTTTTGTTTTCTATACAGTTTCGAAAAACGTCCTTTCTGTTGAAAGATCCTCTTAGAGGCGTGAATTCTAAGGAACTAATATCAATCCAATTGGGAGAACAATCTTATCCGTTGAAAGAAATGATTTTATAAGCTCCGTCAAATTTAGTTCCAGTAACTTTATCAATTTCCAAAATAGAGAAAATCAATTTACCTACGTCAATGTCTAGGACTAGAAAGAAGAAACAAACATTGAGAATTACCACTAATACAGAACCATATGATATTCTAAAAGATTTGGGCACCATACAGCCCATGATCTCTATGAAGTAACTATTGATAGTAGCACCTGAGTGCCAAATTATCTTGAATTCTTCATTAATTCATCGCAGATCTCAAAATAAAGAAATTCGAGAAGTAAGTTTGAATTCCGATCCGGGTGCACCAACAATTGATGTCTCAATTGATGGAGTGTTACTATCAGAAGTACAAGTAGACGGAAGATCTAGTATAAATCTTATGAATGCCACTACAATGGAGGAGTTGGGTTTGGATCACTTATTGCCTATTACAATGGTTTTGAAAATGGCTGACTCTAGTCAAGTTAAACTTATAGATATTTTATGAAGTATTGATACAGTAATTGCGAGGATTACCTAAAAAATTGATTATATTATTTTTTGATTGCGAAGCTCTATATTGTCATATCCAATTTTATTGGGAAGATCATGGTTGTATCAAGCTAAAGCTCGAAATGACTGGGGCCATAGTACATTGACAATTGGGAAAGGAAATGATAAAATTATGCTGCAAATGTACCTTGTCCAATATCACGAAGAAACTCAATTTGCTAGTTTAGAATTCACGTCAGATTGTGAAAATGAGTCTATGGAAGAAGAAATTGGTGCACCTGATCCAATTTATGCTGATACAAGGCAAGTTGTCGAGCACACTAGAATGAACTACCAATGAAGGGAACCGGGAGAATATTTAGTTCTTCTAGATGTTATTGACGATTCTGAATATATGATTGTATATTGGATGAATAGACAAGATGTTAATCACGTTAGTGCTATAGAACTGGAGTTGGAAAGTTCTAATTTGTCAGATTTTATGAAAATTTTTGGAATTGAATAGAATATTATTCGAGAGACTCTTGAAATTCTACGATGTCAATCAATTAATTTAGGTAGAGGAGAGGCTCTCCAAATCATTCAAATTTACAACAGTATAGAAAGCAAGGAGAAAGAAATTTAGATGGATTACTTTTTAATGCATAAAACTTCTTTTACATGGTCGTATGTGCATTTGAAAGGAATTCCAAGTGAAGTATGTGAGCATCGACTTATATTGAAGTAGAACATCAGTACGCCAAAGACAACATCAACTTAATCCAAAATACTCACTTATGGTAAAAGAAGAACTAAATAAACTCTCAGAGATTGGATTTATCTATCCAGTTCTTTTTAGTGAATATGTTTTTCCAATCGAGATGGTGCCGAAAAAGAATTAGAAAATCTGAATTTGTTAGGATTTCTAGAAACTTAATGTGGCGACCAAGAAAGATTACTTCCCATTACCTTTCACAGACAGTATGAATAACATGTTATCATTATCACCACATAGTAAAAGAATAGGAGTGGGGTACCAGTTAAAGTCATTTTGTGGTATTCTTTTGGTTTGGCTAGAGTGCCATTTTCTTGTATTTCTTGTGTTTTCGAGAGTAGTAGTTCCAATTAAGAGTTAATAGTGAGGAGCAGATCACAAGTGTTGATTGAAGATGTTCCAGAATGGATGAGTCAGCAACACCAACAACAATTGGAACTTCAGGATGTCCAGATCTTGAAACTATAAGCTCAAGTCTGTGAATTAGGAGAGTATAATGAAGATCTCTCAAACCAGTTGAAGAAGGAGTCAATAGACGGAATGGAGGAAGAAGAAGAAGATTTATAATTGGAACGAGATTCGATGGAACGTACATTTGATAATGCAGCAAATGATCAATTGGGTGGGTCAGAGGAAATAATATCTTTGTAGAGTTTTGTTAAGTAGTTTTTAGATAGATAACAATTGTGTGTTTGCGATGGTACTACACAATTAAGAATGGGGCTATGTAGAATATATAAATAAATTTTGTGGTAAGTTATTGGTTGGTTATTGATAACCTTGAGAATTAGACTTATAATTAGGCAGTTTAGTTGGTAACAATAAGTTGTTAGTGGAATAAATGGTTAAGAATTCAAAGGATCATAACCTTTGGAATCTGCTGGTTGACGGTCCATCTTTTGGTAGGATAAAGAGGTTGAAAAGTGGGAGATCGGGAAGCGAGACTGTGAGAGTCGTAAGTCGGGGTAAGTTTGGTGCTACCTCTTTGTTTTCTTTGCTTTTATTATTTACTTATGAAGAATTGTAATTGAGAGAAGTATTGTTAAAACTGTGATTAGAATATTGTGGAATATGACTTTGGACTAACCGTTTTAGAAAAAATCTGTGACCTTGAGAATTGAGATTATCAAATTGTCTTGTGTTAAGTGAAGATATTGAATTCTGTGTGATGAATTGAAAAACTGAATATAATAAATAAGTTGGAGATCAGTAATTGAATATATATAAATCACAAAGAGAATAAATGGAAGATGAACGGATAAGAATATGAAAGTATTGTTGAATTGATAGTCGTAGAATGGATTATGTATTGAATTAAGACGGTGTCGTATTACGTGAAGTCTTGCTTGAGAATGCTCCGGGCACCTGGTTGTGGAAGGAAGAATAGAAATTGTAATAACAAAACCCTAATTCTAATAGAATACTAACAATGTTCTAATTGGACCACAATAATGTTAAAAAAGCTTAATCAAATTCAAAGAAAACCTCAAAAAAATTTCAAAGAAATAATAAGAAATCTTAAAGAAATATTAGAATAATCACAAATATCTCTCAAATATATCTCAATTCAATCTTAATTTAATCCTAGTTAAAATCCTATTGGACTTCATTCAAACTTTAGGTCCAAATTAATTAAATCTTAAATCCTAAATAAATCCTAATAAAATCTTAAACCAAACCCTAATGAAATCCTAAACCCAAATTCTAAATCCTAAATCCTAAATCAAATCCCAAACCCTAATCCAAACCCTAAATCCTAAACCCTAAACCCTAAATCAAATCCTAACTAAATCCTAAATCCTAAATCAAATCCTAACCAAATCCTAAATCCTAAATAAAACCCTAATAAAATCTTAAACCCTAAATAAAACCCTAATCAAATCCTAAATCTTAAATTAAATCCTTATCAAATCCTAAACCCTAAATTAAATCTTAATCCAAATCCTAAACTCTAAATCCTAAACCAAATCCTAACCAAATTCTAAACCCTAAATCAAACCCTAATCCAAATCTTAAATCTTAAATCCTAAATAAAATCCTAATCCAAACTCTATTTAAACAAACCAAATTCTAAACCAAATCCTAACGAATTCCTAACCAAACCCTAAACCAAGCCATAGTAATTCCTACAACAGATTTAAACCTCAATAACTAATGAATAAACCGCTGATCTTAACTCAAATTTTGTATACTTCTTAAAAACTAAGTTCAAAATAAGCACAAAAAAATTAAAAAGGATTGGAAATACCAAATTGACAATAACCTCAAAAATGCACTCAGGTATTGGCCAGCCTCTTTCTCTAGTCTTAATGCCAATCTTCCAGAGGCAATATCTCTCCTTCACACCGTTCGATTGATCTCAAAATTCTCATATACATAGAAAAATAAGTCTAATATCCTTTCACATAAGTTTCACTCGAATCCAACTAGTAGATTGCAAGAAATCTTAAAAACCTTCACTGGACCTAAAATTCTACTTTCTGAGACCTTGATCCTCTTCAACCTCAATATTCTTTAATTCAACCGTTAGATCGAGCTCAAATTCACGAAAAATATTGAAAACAACTATAACCATAAACCTACAAAATTTCACGGATAGATCTATTACGAAACACTTGAAATCACCTAAAACATTAACCCTATTTTATTTCATAAAACCCAAATCATCTGAAACAAACCTTGACTTTAAAAAGCTCTTACAAAGCCATAATAACTTCAAATCACCTAAAATCAATGCCTATAGAAACCTTACCCAATCTTCTATCAAATCTCACTCTTTGATCTGCCAAAGAGTCCTTGAATCGCCGTCAGAGCACGGTTTTGTGCCTTGGGGTCTGATTTCGACCCTGGTTCATAACTAGTCCTCTTTGGGTATCAACTTTCGTCTTCTTGAGGTGTTTTTTTACTAATTTGCACTCTTAACTCCTCTCTACATATGCCTATATCCTTTATTTTTTTAATCTACCTTGTTTTGCCTTATTTATGGCCTTACAAAGTAAATAGAAGCATAATTTGTAAAAAGGCAACATTAGCACCTTTAATTTTTCTACCCTTTGACTAATATCTATTTTTCCAAGATAATTTGCTACAATATTTTTGAAGTGAGATCCTCAAAACATGATATTTTTTTCATCCTTTCACTTCTTATCCATGTTACATCACGACAATGGAAGTAGTAAGCCTTGGTATTTTGTAGTTTGATAATTGATTTTAGATAGCTAGAGTATAGTCAATTGTGATACTAACAGATCCAATTCATATAACCAGTCTTTCCCCATATTCGAACCCACCTCTATTAGTTCAATAGCTTTGGTATATTAAAACTTGAACACAACAAAAACAACACAAATAGTAAAAGAAAAAATTAGATTAATTTTATTTAATTCAATTTAGATGGAAATTAATTATAATTACCTAATTTGATTATAAAATTTTATAAGAATATAAGTAATTTTTATTTTATTTTATTTTTTTTAAAAAAAATACCTTCTTTTGTAGTTGGCATAAAAAAGTTGAAGACTTTTATTTGCTTCTTTGCTAAATTTTCATACTACTTAATAAATTTGTTTTCAATAGAATAGACAATTTTCTTATAAGTTTTATCTATGCTTTCTAAATCTACACCCAGCAGACTCACAAACTAAACCCCAAAGATGTGTCTACTTTGGAATGAACTACAAGTCTCCAGTATACACAGCAGATGAAATACCCAGCTAAAATTTCCTTGCAAATGAGTATGCTTGCTACATAGCTAAATCAAATACTCCTCCTCAACAAACTATTGCAGTAGAACTATTTTGTGGTGGCGTAATCTCACCATAATGTGCGCATGGGTAAGAGTAACACAGTCCAACAATCGCAGGTAATAAGTTATCATAAACATGGATTTGACACCCTTATTCAAGCCATCTGCTGTTGAAACATTTCGTGGGGGGCATCAAGGTCTAGGCCTGAGTCAATCTCATCCAATATTGCTGTGTCCGCCTCAAGTACCTGCTCACCACTATCTCTGGTCAATACTCAGGCCGTCGGCAATACACTCGTCACCTCTTTGTACTATCATGAAAGTCACGTATAGAGACAACTTTGTGCATAGATTCAACGCCAACGAGCAGAAAGCTTGTACTGGCCTTGATTCAACCATGGGGGTACGACTTCCTAAGTTCTACAAACCACTTTGTCCCACTGAATCATCACGGCACATATCTATTTAAAAGCTCTTGAAAATACGATAAATCAGGTTCAACCTCGTGAAGACCAAGTACCACGAATCAGACACTACATGATTGGGAGCTCAGAAATTTTCATGTTTACGTCATATTGCAGCAGTAAACATGAAAATTTCAGCAGATGATGTGATACTACGCATACACATACCACTGATTGCTGACCCCATTCCGCTTTGTTTCTTCTACACTGAAACCCTTGATGACATTGGTCCAAAATTATTGAGTCCATAGTAAGAGCTGTAAGCGTCTCTGCAACAAATCCATAAAAACTGTACAAGTGCACAGGAACTTAGTAACTGAACCAACACGAAGCTGCATTTGACATGATCCTTCATTGAAATGGTAAACTAACTTTTCAATTGAAATCAAAATTAAAGGCTCCTCGAGCATCCAAGAAAGCCGGTGTGGTGGAGACACGGCAAGAATTAGCATGCAAGAGGAATCTGAAGACTTGCATTCTCATCGAAGGAGAATTCTAGGTCAGTAAAAGGGAAAATACCAGAAGCGGACCAAGTTCTCTGAGATTTGGGACTTTTCGTCGAGCATTGCAAGCCATGCGTAGGAAGCCCAGGAAGTTGCTCCTTGCAGAAAATTAAATTGAGGATTAGAATCTCAAAAACAGACAACAGTCACTTCATTCCTCGGCTTCTAAATCAAAGAGATTTTGCCCCTAAAATATGGCAATTCCCCTGCCACTTCATAGTCTGGATAACCAACCAATGCTTGCATCCACCACATAAAACCCAACCCGTCGAAGGTAAACTGATCAAAAGTTGTGAGCCACCTGATACTCGCAACATCAAGGAGGTGATATCCGAAAAAAACATTATCTGTTGGCAAATTAGGGTTTAAAACCTGAAAAGGATGCAGAATACTGCAATCACCAAAATTATGAAAAGTTCGGTTCAAAATGGTTGCCTGGTCCAATCACAAGATCCACCCCATTCAGAGTTTCCCGCTGCATGTCTGCCACTGTGGCTCCTAAACCCTGGACCTCTAGAATCCCAGCTGGTATGACTTCGAACTGCAAATGCAAATGCAAATGCAGAGGCATTCGCTGCATCAACCATTTCCTCTTCTGTGCCTCCTGCAACCAACCATCTGCATTCAACGATGCGTGCGTCCCTTAAAGCAAACGCACAGTTGCTTTACAAACTACACACAAGTAGCACAGCTCCACAATCTTCTCCCCCAACGCACCCACAAACCATGCAATGTTGTAGAATCCGAGCCACTCACACACAACACCTTCTCTGCATGGTGACGTTGCCTTAGATCTCATGTGTAACTCCAGTGTTTATCAAACTCTTAAAACAATCATTAATGCACAAATGTCTATTTATAAATGTCTATTTATAAATATCCTATAGAGTAGTATATGAAGACATTAAAATATTATGTGAGGATACGGGCAAGAACGGAGGGGAGTATGGCAGAAGGATACTCCATGGACAATGCTCTTGGTTTTTGTACAGAATATATGACACGTTTCAAGCCATCACTTAGTATATGGAATCCTACAGAGCACTAGTATGATGAAATCATAGAAGATAATGGTGTGAAGCAACAAATGTTGGATAATCTCTAAGGTTGGACACATAAATTTGTTGCTACCAATACTGTACATTTTCAGACATGGAGATGATAAAATTTTAAGCAACCATGTCTTGGTGATGTTGCATATTACATAATTTAAGAATTAGTTGAAATAAAAGAAATGTTGTAACTTTAAGGAATATTGGTACATTTCTTACTTAGAGAGTAGTAGTGGTCACTATACAAGATATAAATATTATGTAAAGAAGATAAATAATGTATATCTTGTATTTGTAGCCGCATTCTCTTTTAGTACAAAGATAAATGTAAGCTATTCTCTTAAAGCTGTAGTTTAAGACTTAGAGATGTTTTAGTAGTTTGAAGATAAATTAGCAAATATTAATCTTTTATAATAGTTTAACCTGATTTAATTACAATTTATAAATGAAGGCATGAAGTCATATTATTCATGTAGATAGTATTAAGATAAAGTAGAATAATATTCTCTTGCATGCAGTTGTAAGGCAATATGTCATTGCCAAAGAAGAACATCATGTAGAGAGAGTAGCTTTTGTCATAGAAATATCCAAAGAAGAAGTAGACACACAACATTGTTCTCTTAAGATATGGGAGCTTCCATGTTTTGTAGTCTAGTTAGAGAATAAGATCTTTGCTATTATGGATTCTAGAGCCTCTCTTCCAAAAGATATAATAAACGGCTCCAAATTATAAGACAATGCTACATTATCATTTAAATCAATGTAGACTTATAAATACATTTTTGTTATAAATTAAAGGAGTCAAATAAGAAGACAATTGATTTTGGTATTGTTGTGTTTAATGAGAAAATTTCCATAGTATCCAATGGTGATGACAAATCTATATTACAATATATCAAATTCTTTGGTTGTGTAAAAGTAAATAGAGGATAAATTAAAAAGTAAAAGATATTATCTTAGATAAGTTGGTAATGGTCAAAGGACAGCAAAAGGATGAAGGAAAGTTACCAATGTGGCGGCTAGGATTATAGGTGGTAGCTAGAGTTATATGTGGCAGCTAGGGTTATAAGTGGCGGCTAGGGTTACAAGTGATAGCTAGAGTTATATGTGGCAGCTAGGATTATAGGTAGCAGTTAGGATTTAAAGTGGCAGCTAGGTTAAGATGAATCTAGGATTTAGTTGGATGAAAGTAAGATGAACGTTAGCCAAAATGGATATAACTTCTACCTATAAATAAAGGGTGTTGGAAGTGAGAGGCATCTCATTCCACACTTCTCTTATGTCTAACTTTATTGATTTTTACTTACTTGTATCTTGCTTATTGTGATTCTTCAATAGATTATGGGCCCACACACACTTTGTTGTACTATTCAAGTAAGTTGAGGTCATTTGTTGATTGTTGTTCTTGTGTGGAATAGATCTTATGGTATTTCTTGATGTTAGAGATTATATGATATAATCTTGTGTTTTGACTTGTGGAGGTTTTGATTTGGACCTTATAGATCTCTAACATCAGTTTGAAGGTTCTTAATTCCTAGGATTGATTGATTAAGACCTTATACAAAGACCTTGATAGTATCTTTGGTGTTGTAGTGAGAACTTGCTTCATTTGTGGAAAACCACGTCACTTTGCTCGAAATGGCTACAAGGCTAAGAAAGGAGATAGAGAAAGTGCAAACAATGCTCGTGATGAATATGGAGGTGATGATTATGCATTCATGGCAAGTGAAGGCACTTCCATGGCTGCCATGTCCAAGTAAATCATTGATTCTGGTGCCACCAAGCACATGACTCCATACAAGTGTTCATTTGACACTTATAAAGAAATTTTAACAATAAATATCCTCATGGGAGACAATGGCATAGTACAAGCTATTGGAATGGGCTCCATTTTTATAGAGATTGTTGTAAAAGGCCAAACCAAGAGGATCAAATTGAAGGATGTCTTACATGTGCCAAAGATGAAGAAAAACCTCTTCTCGGTGAGTAAACTTATTTCACATGGCTATAAAGTGTAATTTGATAAGAATGGGTGTTTTGTGAAGACATTAGAAGGAGATCATATTGCAAAGGGCTTCAGAGATGGCAACCTCTACTTCATCAAGTGTAAAAAGGTGAATGGAGTTGAAGTGGCGACATTTGACGAATTTCCTCAAGATCAAGTTAAGTTTGGCATTTGGCATTGATACCTTGGTTATTTGAATGCCAAGAGCATGAAGGAGCTTCAATCCATGGAAAGTGGCTTAGATCTTGGTCATATAAGCCACAATGCTATGACACTTGCTTGTGAAGATTGTATTCAAGGCAAACAATAAAGGGCCTCATTTCCAAGTGGAGTTGCAACACGTACAAGTAAGTTATTAGAGATTATCCATTCTGATATTTGTGGACCTATGAGGATGCCATCAATAGTAGGTACAAAGTATTTTATCATATTTATTGATGATTTTTCAAGAAAGGTGTGGATTTTCATCCTCAAAGCAAATAGTGAGTTTTTCACAAGGTTTAAGGAATTTAAGGCACTTGTGGAGAAGCAATGTGAATGTAAAATCAAGATATTGCGTACGGATAATGGAAGTGAGTATATGTCAAAGCAATTCAATGATTTCTTGAAGATGCATGGTATTGCAAGACAAACCTCCACTCCTTAAACTCCACAACAAAATCGAGTTGTTGAAAGAGTAAATCATACCATTGTGGAGATGACAAGTAGTATACTTCATGCACAACACCTTGGACATGAGTTATGGGTGAAAGTAGTAGTGAATGTAATATATATAAGAAATAGGTGTCCTACAAGTGCACTTACATCAATGATGCTGGAAGAAGCTTGGAGTGGAAGAAAACCTTGTATTTCTCACATGAGGACCTTTGGATGCATAGCATATGCAAAGATACCAGATTGTATGAGATCAAAATTTGATGCAAAAGATACAATATGTGTATTTTTTGGATATTGTAAAAGTACAAAGGCTTATAGGCTCATGTATTTGGAGACTAAAAAGATCATCAAAAGTTATGATGTTGAATTTTTGGAGGACAAGAGTGCTTGTGAGCACTTGGAGATATGTCCAAGTGAGAGTAATGGTGTGTTTGTAGATACATCTTCAAATTCAGCAAAGAAGGAAGAAGACAAAGACAATGATGGTTTTAAAGGTGGAAATGAAGATGAAGAGGCAAAGAAGGAGGATAAAAAGGCTTCTACAATTGCTAAGAGCAGCAATGAAGAGCATGAAGATGTTGATGATGATGGCAATGAGGATTATGAACCTTTGAGTGAGAAAAGAATATCTTCAAAAGAAAAGAAGGTTGGAGGTGACCATGGAGTGTAAGAAGTTGAGTCTTCTTCAAATGAAAGGAGATATCCTTTGAGAGATAGAAAACAACATAGTGAATGGTGGAAGGACCACATTTTTCTTCAAGTAAGTAAAGAACATGCCAATGTTACACTTCTTGTTGATCTGTTGAATTTATATGATGCAATGAAGTCTACGGATGCTATGAAGTGGGAGATTGCTATGGAAGAAGAGTACAAATCACTCATGGACAATGGAACATGGGAATTGACTCAACTTCCACCAAATCGAGCTTCAATTAGTTGTAAGTGGGTGTTTAGAACAAAGAGGGATGTAATGGATAATGTTGTGAGATATAAGGTAAGATTGGTTGTCAAAGGCTACTCACAAGTTGCTGGTATTGATTTCAATGAGAAATTTGCTCTCGTGGCCAAATTCACCACCATTAGAATCATTGTGGCAATTAGGGCAGCAATGGACTTGGAGATGTATCAAATGGATGTGAAGACGGCTTTCTTGAATGGAGAATTGAAAGAAGACATCTACATGGATCAATCTCAGGGATTTGTTGAAGAAGGCAAATAATACCTTGTGTGTAAGTTGAAGAAATCCTTGTATGGACTCAAGCAATCATCAAGAACATGGTACCAATGTATCGACATCTTCTTTGTGAATGAAGGATTTGTGAGGAGTGAAGCTGATCATTCCATGTATGTGATGCAATCAAAAGCCTTCTTGCTGATTGTTATTCTTTATATTGATGATTTCATCATCTCAACCAATACTTTGAAAAAGATGGATTGGTTGAAGGCAAAGCTAGCAAAAATAATTTGAAATGAGTGATTTGGGAGAGCTCCATTATTTCTTAGGAGTGGAATTTGTGAGAGATCCAGCTAAGAAGATCATTACATTGAGCCAAAAGAAGTACATTGAAGAAGTATTGAAATGGTTCAACATGGAGGAGTGCAAGTCCATTGGAACACCTTTGGAGGCAAATTTGAAGTTGATGAAGCTCACAGATGAGGAATTTACTGAAGTTGAAGAAGAAATGAAAGATGTTCCTTATAAGGCATTAGTAGGCTCACTTATGTATACAATGGTTGGTACAAAGGTGGATCTTGCATATGCGGTGAGTGTTGTGAGTCAACACATGTCAAAGGCTGGACCAATTCATTGGACAACCATTAAGAGGATCTTGAGGTACTTAAAAGGCACTTTGAACTTCAAATTGTGCCTTAGAGGTAATAGTATTACATTACATGGATATTGTGATGCGAATTGGACTTGAGATGCAAATGATAGAAGATCAACAATGGGATATGTATTCTTTGTTGGAATAGGAGCAATTTCATGGAATTGCAAGAGACAACCAATAATTACAAGGTCTACAATGGAGGCAAAATATATGGCAGCAAGTTATAGTATAATAGAGGCAATATGGCTAAGACAAGTTTTAGAAGACATTGGACTTGTGCAATTGGAAGCAAATCCAATGAAGTGTGACAATCAAGGATGCCTTGCTTTAGCGAAGAATCCAAAGCAGCATTCAATGACAAAGCACATTGACATTGAACATCACTTCATATGGGAAAAGATTGAGATGGAAGTAACTGACATAAAATATTGTGCAACGGAAGACATGCTTGTTGATTTGCTTACAAAAGCATTGGTGAAGGATAGACATTACAAATTGACAAAGGCATTACATTTATTAGCCTTTGATCAATAGTAAAGTAGAAGTGTAAAAGTAAATGGAGGATAAATTAGAAGATAAAAGATATTATCTTAGATAAGTTGCTAATAGTCAAAGGGTAGCAAAAGGATGAAGGAAAGTTACCAAGGTAGCGGCTAGGGTCACAAAAGTAGATGTTTAAAGAAAAAAAAGAGAGCAATAATTTGCCAAGAAGGAAGAAAGTTCTCTCTTTTCAATTGGATCCAATTTGAACTTTATAGGTCTTTATTCCAACAAAAGTATATAATTAAATGATATAAGGGATGTACAACCTTAGATAGTAAGAAATATTTTTGTAATAGACATATTTAAGGGTTTTACTAATGTTGAAATATATAGGCATGAGAATTTACTAGGAGATTCATTAGGAGAAGATGTTTAGATATATTACTAAAAACTCAGTTCTTGAATGATAGTAGCAAAGAAAGAATGTCAATATTTTTGTGGATCCAAGGGTTTTTATAATAGATTACTACATAAGTAAGTGATATAGGAATACATTGTTTGTGATATAATTTCAAGGACATTTTTTATGACTAAATAACTTTGTATAATACGTGAAGTATTTTTTGTATATTGTAGGCATGTAAATAATTATAAAATATTATGTTTTGATTTAGAAATCAATAACAAAAAATTTAATCAATGGAATGTATAGTATATAGTGTGTATGTATAGAATTCAATATTGTGTAGTGTAAATTATATAAAATGAAAGATTATTTCTATAAAAGACGTGAAGTTAAATATTAAAATATTGTTAGACCTTTTAGTCTAAAAACAAGTGCATATATATATATATATATATATATAATATATATATTAGTAAAAAATATTTTTGCTATATATTAAATGTCAAATTATAAGAACTACAATAGAATTATAATTAAGCTATTCAAAATGATAAAGATATTTCAGATTAAAAATAGAATGTATGTATGTTAATTTTAGCAATTTTATTTTAATGATATAAATCAAGTATGATACATTTTTTATATTAAATAAAATATTAAATATAATATTTTTTATTATTTTAAAAAATATAAAATATACAAATAATATAGAACCATCAAATTTAATACTTTTAACATCACGTAAAGAGGTGGTTTTTTTTTCTAATGAGTCCTTTATTTCTTTGGAATTAGATTTTTCTTTTTGGTTTGTAACTATCATAAACTCTACATTATAAACAAGTTATTCAATCTTATTAGCCCTTTGTGCCCATCAAAATCAATTCTTCTTGTTTTATAATTTGTTTGTACTTTCACCTTTATTTGAAGTCCTTTGTCACTCTCTTTGCTTATAGACAGATTTTCATCTATATGACTTCAAGTTGAAGAACAATGAACATTCTTTTATATCATGCTTTGTAGCAAAACAAAACCAACATTAAATTGGAAAATAATTAATATATATATACATATATATATATATATATATATATATATATATATATAGATACATAAGTAATGGAATTAGTAAATAACATGTCTAGTTTCTATCTAACCTCTAATTGTATTGCAATACAAAAAAAAAAAAAAAAAAAAAAAAAAAAAATTAAAACTTAACATTTTCCAAGTCTTTTTCAAATATGTTGTTGAGCCTAGTTGCAACCTTAGCAGCAATAGACTTGAATTTTTTCAATAATTGCTTAATAATAATTCAAGTATAAATGTAAAGAACATCTCATTCAAAAATTGTATCTAAGTTCTATACTACCTTTAATTTGAATAGTGGTCTCTATTGTTAAAATATGCAAATACTATCTTGAGTCAAAATGGAGAACAAATTAGATTTTTGTAAGTCACTTCTTTTAACTTTGTTTGAAGATAATATATTTTCTTTTTATAATTTTAGATATTGATAGTATTTTCTTCATAGTCGCTAAGAAGATAAGAATCTACTTTTTAAGGACTTTAGTAGATGACAACCTTCCAACATAATGTAAAATTATAATATGTTTCTATATATATATATATATATATATATAAGGTTTTGGTAATGATTGGTAGAATCAACTCCTTAAAGGTTTGCTCTTATCAAGAAATTGGAACATTATCAATTTTAGCCATTAAGAAGAATGTTCCTTGGTTGTACTTCTATTAAGTGTAGATGGCCCCTCTTGCCTCTTTTTACCAAATATATACATTGTCACAATTTTTTGTAGTATATCCATCATGAATCTAGGTCCTTCTATGAGTAAGAATATTGTTGCATATAGTATTAGTGTTTATACCATTGTAGTCTATTGTTGTTATAAAAATAAATAAATATATTTATAGGATATTTCTAATCCCACCATAGTTTTTTCTATTGCCATGACAACCTGCCATCCACTCAACATGTTTCTTTAGTTGTTATATTCCAACCAAAAAAATTGTTAATATTTCTAATACACACACATATATATATATATATGTATATATATATATATATATATATATAAAAAAAAAAAGACTAAAATTTTACTGAAATTTCATAGGATTGTAATGACAAAAACAAAAATTGTAATAACAAAAGTAAAAATTATGATGGCAATTGCAACACCATGGATGTATATATATATATATATATATGAAAAACAACTATGTTTTCTTTAGACTCTTTCCTTCTATTACATCTCAGCAATGGATTCAACAAGCAAAGCATTAAGAAAAAAACCATAATAGAGCTACTACCTGGTACAACTATGGTTGTGCCTAATCTTGAATACTTAAGAGTGACTTGCTTTAAACAGTGTCAATACACTATCTTAGGAAAAAATGACTTTGAACTTGCACGATTTTTTTCTTTTCTTTTTCTTATTATGAATATTGCAATGGCAATTTTTTCCTCCCATGACTCCAATCTCAAATTTTAAAAATATTAATAATATAAAAAATTATTTGATAATTTTTTTGTTACAAGGTATACTGATTCAAAAATTATTTTTATTTCATGAAGAAAATTTTATTGTTATATTATGAATTAAAAGTGTTTAGAATCTTGGTTCTTACTTATATTTTTTCTTACTTAAGAATTTAAAAAGCATTGACTATTGGGTTTATTGGCTTAGACACATGAAAAGCAACATTACTTACATTGTCTTTATGATATTCAAAATGAAAAATATCTTCAGAACAAAAGCTTAAGTAAAGTTAGTAAAACTTTTTCTCTAAACAACGCGCACAGCCAAAGTTGATCCCCTTCAGAACAGCCAATATTCAGATTGCCCCTAGTCACGTCAAGGTTGTGGGGCTAATGGAATTTGATCACCTTTCTCTTCTGATGCAGAGAAGGTTTATGCCTTCGTCATTTGTATGCTCACAGAAAATTGCTTCATTATCTGAGTTTGAGTTCGAGTTTATAAGGTAACAAGAGAACAGATGAGTTGTATCCAAGCTTCAGGCTAAGATTGAGGTATTGAATTCGACCAATGTTCACCTGAAGCCAGATCTTCATAATGGTACAACAAGCAGACCCCGAAAAGATTTTTAAGGCGAGAGTTCTTCTAAATTCATTCCCTGAATTGAATACAAAACTGATCGCACAAAACACCCGGGCTCGGACTAAACCTTAAACTCTGGTAAAATGACGCTGACCTGATATTTTCTGCAGACCAACTCCTACACTATTACTGGTTTCTGAAGGTGGACATTTCTATTTCCACTACGTGTAGCTAATTCACCTTGTCAGCCTCCTCTCCACGACCAAACACTGTTTCAATGTCCTCAGTAATTTCGTCCCATTTCTCCTGCAAAAAGATGAAAATTTTCATAGGCAAATAGTTAGCTGAAGCAGTTAACCTCCATCTTAGAGAGGGAAAAGTGGTTCTTAGTGCATAGTGGAAAAACAGAACAAAGAAAATCATGTTTAATATATAGTGAGATTTATGGCAATATCTTGCTGCCCGTACAATGTAATCCTGCAACAGTAATGAAGGCGAACATCTGCCCAACAGGCATTTGTCTTCAGAACATCCGTCCTTGAAAGGATTAAAAAAAACAGAACACCCGATTATAGAAGGTCGTTGAAAGTAATACCTGGAAGGATTCAAACCATTCTCTCTCGTAGTCAGCACGGGTGGTGAACTCGCCCAAGTCCTCACGGTACCATTCTCTCGAATAAGTAACAAGATCCATGACCTGCTCTACCTCCAGAACCTCCCATGGCCGCAAACCTGGAATTTGTTTCGCCAACTCTTTCCTGAAAGCACGAGGTGGAATAGAAACAGGAATAAATACACATGGAAAAAGTAATAGGGACCCTGGGTTACGGCTAGGTGATGCGAGACAATGTTCACTCCAGAACTTTCAAAACAGTTTCTTCTGAGCTAGCAGGTACTCTGACATACGAATTAAAACATGAGATTCATTGCTGCTCAAATCACTTTGATACAACTATATTCGTTAACCAATCTTTCCAACGAAGAACTGGAAGTAACTGCGGGATCCCGAGTGACAAGAAAAGAGTTCTCAAACGGCCGTGACAACTCATAAAATAATACCTGGCTTCGTAGGATATAAACTTGTGTGGCATATTTTGCTTAGTGCCTTGCTCCAAAAGGTCCGTAAGCTCAGATCCACCAGCCCACAAGAACATGGCATGAGCAGGAGTGCTTTCACCAGGCCAGATGCCGTGATTCTGTCTGAGCACCGCTTTCTCTCTCTCCCTCTTCTCTATCGCTTCAGCCTGAATCTGTTTGTACGATTTGATACTGTGACCCTTCAAAGGAGTCCATGGAGATAGCCCTCGAGCAAGCTTGTGGACTAAGGCGGTTCCCATCGTGACAAGCTTAACTGCAGATAGACCAACAAACCAGAGTTTATGCTACAAACAGCAGGCTTACTCTAAGTTTAACATTCTTCAATAGAGAGATTGAGGCAAAATGCTCTGTGACAAGAAAGTCTGTCAACTACCACTGATTAATTGTGAACAAGTAGGGCCTGAGAGCACAAAACGAGGTTACAATCCTCAAACTTGAAATGGGAAAGTAAGATGTTGAAATTAAATTCATATTGGCATACATGTATTTAATTTTTTTCTAATGAGACCTTTATTTCTTTGAAATTAGATTTCTCTTTTTGGTTTGTAACCATCATAAAATCTACATTATAAATAAGTTATTCAATCCTATTAGCCCTTTGTGCCCATCAAAATCAATTCTTCTTGTTTTATAATTTGTTTGTACTTTCACCGCGAAAGCATACCGTCGGGAGTTTCCACACAACCCTGAAGACCGTAGACCATCCCAATGGGCGCCCATTCATCCATATCATCTCCCCATATGAAAGTGTTCTTGTCAACGATCCCCGCTGCCCATGCGGTCTTGAGATTCACAAGCTCCATGGGACCACGAGTTCGTCCCAGCCTGTCCTTGTAGTACCATCCTCCGGCCCTCATTGTAACTGATTTACATGGCACATACGATTAGGGCTAAGGAAGATTCCAACCATACATGAGTCATACTGCGTAGTCAAAGAAATTACAAAAGATATCCATGTGAACAGCCTGGTCACGACAACTGCAATCAGGTTTAGGCGAGCAACCCTAACCTAATTCTAATTAATTTAAAGAAACACTCGTGTAAACCCTGAGAAATACGACACCCCTACTTCACAGCAATGAAAAAGTTGCCATCATTCAATAAACATGTCAGTAGATTGCACGTTCAGAGATGTTCAGAAACACCCCTCCTACGCATGCCAGAGGATTGCTGTTTTGACTCAAGGATATTTGTCGATGTAAATGATAAAGAGAGCTATGAAATACAGGATGCCACTGTTTAAGATTATGTAAAGGGTACCGCTGGAATAGTTCCTTAATGTACAAGAATTCACACCGGCTTTGCAAAAACGGAACGAACAGAGAGAATGGTGCACTCACAATCGGCATATCGCTTATCTAGCCATTTGTAGCCGAGCACCTGCTGTACATCGATGGGCTTTTCAGCGGGATAAGGCCTCTGCTTGTAACCCCAGAGCCCAAACTGAAACTGCTTGAAAAAATCCCAGAATCTCCCCTGCACCTCCTCGTCAGACTTGAGAGCCTTCCGGGGAATGGGAGGACCGCCATACGGTCCCGGCACCAGGGGCAGCTGCTTCCACAGCTGAGCATCTTCGGGCCTCGTGGGCGCCGCATTGGCCAGCCTCTCCTTGGCACGCTCTTCGGCAGCGAGCTCCTCACTTCTCAACAAGAACTTCGCCATCTCCGACTTCTGGAAACTCTCCAGAAACTCCGCATTCTCCCGAATCTCCTCCTCCGTGGCGGTACCGGGAGGCTCGAAGTACACATCCTCCTTCAAGTCCTGTTCCACCTCGTCGCTATACCGGGGATCCTCAATTTCGTTCTGCTGCTCAGCCACGAACTGTTCGAGGCGCTTCTGGTACACATCGCCCGTGGCAGCCGAGTCGCCCGGCGCCGCACCCGAGGGAGACGACGCAGAAGCGCTGGAGCTCGGCTGCGACGATTTCCCAATGCCCAGCCATCGCTTCATGGTGCAACGTCAACCCACAAAACAGATGCCGAACCCAAAATTGTGCACATTCACCCTGAGTTGCGCAATCCGCCGGACCCAACACGATGCGAAATGGACCCAGCAATCGTAAACCCACAATCAATCGAAGGCGAAGGCAGGGTGCCAAGAGGGATAACTTTTCGTGCCCCGCGTAAGCTAAGCTTATCTGCTTCCCCTACCTGCTTCCCTCTCATTCCCTCTCCGAGAGGGGTTTTGGGTTCTCGCATTGCCTTTCCCATTCCTTTTTCCCCTCAGATACTTTCTCGGTCGTAATCACACTTTTTCATTCGTCGTGACACGACTCTGTTCCTTGCCAACTCTTGAGTCTGTTTTTTCACTCTTCTGTGTGTTTCTTTTCGTTGAGGGTTTACTTCAGTGTAATTAAACTCTTGTTTTTGGTTTTATCTACATGTAAACGCGCTTCGAAATTTTTATTGAACTTTTTATATTTTTAAGATTATTTTTTTTAAATTGTACTCATATTAAATGATTTTTGGTTTTTGGATTCTTTTTTTGAACATGTAAAACTTGACTTTAAATTCTTTTGTTATCAAACATTACAATTCATTATTCCTACACATGTCATGTATGCCAAATAACATCATCATAAGTTGAATAGATCAGAATATGATTAATAGTGGAATTGTTATAAAATAGAATAAAGTATATTATATATTGCTTTTAGTGGTATAACACAATAGATAATATATACAACAATCATTTTTGTTTCAAATTATATCTGTGAAAAAATTATTTCAAATTTGATTTTCTATGTATATTTTTTCTTTAAATTATCAAATTTACAAGTTTAAATTTATTAATTTTTTTAAAAAATAAACATGGAATATTTGGATATTCTTAATTTATATAATTTGAGATTTTATAAAATAAAAATAAAATAAATCTAAAATAATTTTAATTCATGAATACTACATATATTTTAGAATGTCATATTTTTCTATTATAATTTGCTATGAAACATCATAGCAATACACCTTTAAAGCTAAATGCCTTAAGTTTAAATAAATTCTATTACTTATTAAATATAAAACTATCACTTTAAATCTTAAATTTTATTGTCTAAATTGTATTTAAAATCTTTTTCCATAGATGTCATCACTTTTTCAACTTTTGAATATGAATAAATATATATAAAGTTTATTAAGTATTAATTATATTAAATATTTTTAAAATAAAAATACTCTAATATTAGATTTATTCACATTAATATTTTATTCATTAAAAGTTTTAGAACTTTAATAAGTTTATATAAAATAATTATTATAATAAAAAAATATAAATCAAAAGATTACATAAAATTACATTAAAAATAGAAATATCCAAAAAATATTATAAAAATATTGAATCTAATTTTATGTTTAATTTTTTATTTGAAATAATTCAAATAATGGCTCTATAGTATTTTAAAACTTATATAAAAAAAATTATAAGTAATATTTTAAAAAGAAAATTTAACAATTGTATATTAATTTCAATCAATTCTTTGATTCACTACATATCACAAACATATATATATTTATCTAGATTAAAATGAGTTACAAAGAAATAAATAGAAGTAAGTAAGTTTAATTATATATTATGGAGTAACTTCTTAGAAGCTTCATAGTTGTGGTGTCATGGACATATATATTTATTCCAATAATTATCTATATGATTAAATAGAAATAGATAAAAATAGATTAATTTTATAATATCTTCTAGACAAGCTTCCTAGAAGCTTCATAGACACTGCTTTGACTTTACATGTGTTTATAGTTAATTGATAGGTTAAAAAATTTTACAATTTAGCCATGTATCATATGTATTAGTATCTTGTGGAACAAGCTAACTATATGGCACATATATAGATAACTTGCCTTAAAACTTAAGACATATGTCTAACAAAGTCAATGCATGTTGGAGGTCCTATAGAATATTGCTACATAATTCCTACTCAGAGAGTATATATGGAGGTAAGAATGAAGCTTTTTTTATTCTTATCAATGCCTTTTTAATCCTTAGTCTTATTTCAAGACTTTCTAATCTTCTTATCTTTAGCAATAGCCATTTTAGTTTAATATAATACCATCTTTGAGTGATTTTTTAGTCTTTTTGAGTGACACAAGAGTAAGTTGAGGATTTTTTTTCTTCAAGATTCATGTGTTTGATAGTTTGATAAGAATTTTAATCTATTATTATTTTATTTTTTTAGAAGTGAGTAGATTATTCCACTTCTATTGTTGTATTTTGAAGATTATAGAATATCCACCTTCAAACAAATAATTTAATTTTCTAACATTAATTTTTTTCTTATATAGAGTAGATTATCTTTCTTTATAGAAATTTTTATTTAATCTTAGAAATTACAAATTATTCTATTCTAGTTTAATTTTTTGAATTTATTTAAGTTATCTATAGAAGAAAAGATTATGGATGCTACTCTTAGTAGAAGTGAAAATAGATTTACAACTATTATAGATCTTCATAAGTTTGTCAAAACTTTAAGAGTAGAAATCTTAATTATTTCTAATGTGAATCATGGAGGTACTATTCCTACACATATAGAAGAAGTCTAAAGTCTATATCGATAAGTTGTGCAATTGAAAGAAGTAAGTAGATGAAGTTCACAACCAAATTCAAAAAGTCTTACTTCTACAAGCACAAAGAAGATAAGGATTAGTATGTCCAAAAATTTTGATGGAACAAGTTCATTACTTTGAGGCTTTATAATAAATTAAGTCCTATTTGAGGTTGCATCCTTTTCAATACTTTGATGGATTTATTTAAGTTGGATTTATAGGCACACTTTTATTAGGAAGTGTTCTCTCTTAGTTTGCATCTTTGATGAAAAAAAATTCATGACTTCTCCATGATTTGAATTCATTCTTGGAAGTATTTACAGCTACATTTTTAAAAAATGATTGAAAAAGGATAGTAAAAATCAAGCTCATATACCTATGATAAGAATCATATTCAACTACCACATATGCTGTTGATTTCTAAAATCTTGCTTGCAACATGGATTAAAATGATAAAGTCCTTATCAATCAATTTTGATATGGATTAAAAGTTAATATCAAAGATTTTTTGTTGACAATGTTGAAAGAAATTTCACTAGAGTAATTTATTGCCGTAGCCATTGCATGGAAGAATCAGCTCTTTAAAAGATGTTAGGAACAAAGATTTGATTAGAGAAATATAAGTCAAGTCATATCAAGATCTTCAAAGTTTTTGGAAGCTTATTTGTCTAAGCCAAAGCCTATAAAAATTGACATAATACATTTTAAATTTTCTTATTATGTAAAAAAAGACTCATCATCATCAAAAAAGTTTATGCCTATATTGAAGAGAATCCAATCACACTCCTTAATATTTTCTAAAGAAAAAATGTAATTACAAAATAAGGAGTATGGTTGCCAAAGAATATAATGCATCAAAATATGAATTTTTCCACTTACAATAGGAATTATGTGGCTAAAATCTTACATAATTTTCAATAAAGGTTCTATTTTCAATTCAAATCCCTCACCTTGTTTTACAATAGAAGTTTTTTTAGAACCAAAAAATCACAAAGTCTTAGCTTTATTAGATTCAAGAGCCTCCACCTATTTTATAGATAAAGAATTTGTCAAAAAATAAGATATATTTTTAATTAATAAAACCAAATCTATACATGTAAAAACAATAAATGATCATTTATTATCTTCAAGAAATGTTACACATAAAAATTTTCCTTTAAAAGTAGCACCTAGTGGTCATAATACTTTAATAATATTTAATGTGATTAAATACCTTTTTAACTTAATTATTTTAGGATTATTGTGGTTAAAAAAATAGAATCCTTAAATAGATTAGATTTCTTATAACATTGATTTTTTAAAAAATTTAGCTCAAGATTTGATAAGTAAATAAATATCTATATGATTAATACATTCAAATTACTATTGATAGGTATAGGAACTTTTATACATGCTACAAAGAAAGGTCAACTTTTGGTATATATTCCACACCTACTGTTCATAGAAAAAAGATTTCAAGAAGAATCCTAAAGCAATAGTGAGATTATTAAGATATTTTTGAAGAAAAAAATGTAGATATTCTTCTAAAGCATTATCTATATGATTATTCCATTGATCTTCAAAAAAGAGCTTAACTACCATTTGAACCAATCTATAATCTATTATAGAATGAATTGGTTGCACTCAAGAAATAAATTGATGAGAATTTAGCTAAAAACTTTATACACCATTATACATCTCCAACTGAGACTCTTATCTTATTTGTGAAGAAAAAAGACTAATCTCTATGGATATGTGTAGACTATTGAAGACTCAACAAAATCACCATCAAGAATAGGTATCCTCTACTTTTGATTTCAAAACTTCTTTATCAATTGAATCAAGCAAAGATCTATACAAATATAGATCTATAAAAAGCATTTCATATGATATATATTAAAAAAAAAATATGAATAAAAAATTACTTTTTAAACCAGATATGGATATTTCAAATATAATGTCATACTTTTTTGGACTCACAAATAGAAGTTGTTTTTCAATATCTAATTAATGATGTCCTTTGTAAATTTTTAGATAATTTTGTTTTTTATTATTTAGATGATATCTTAGTCTATTCTAAGAATACAAAAGAGCATGAAGTTTATTTTTGTCATTTATTATAAAAACTAAAAGATATATGATTATATGCCAAGATAAAAAAGTGTATATTTTACACTACTCAAGTTGACTTCCTAGAATACATCATTTGAAATAATGGTCTTATGATAGTTTCTAAGAAGGTGTAGACTATCATAGATTAAAAGATCCCAAAAATGTCAGAGATATACAATGTTTTTTAAAATTTACCAATTATTATATAATCTTCATTGAAAACTTTTTTTAAATCATGGATCTTCTTACATATAAATATATGAATACAAAATTGAGTAGAAAAATAAAGTTGAAGAAACTTTTGAAGCCTTAAAGATAATATTTATTTTTACATCAATTTTATATTACATCAATTTTTCTTAGGCATTCTTTATAGAAATAGATGCATCAAACTTTGTTATAGGTATTGTTTTGTCATAAGTGGGAGCATATGATAAGCTTCACTTTGTAGCTTTCTATTCCAAAAACTTTCAGTAATCAAGATTAATTATAAGATCCACAACAAAGAGTTTCTT